AGAGGAGGAGCGCCCAGCAGCCTCTGGAACAATTGTTGCTGTTGCTTGGTTGTGATGTAGACTGCACCGCCTCCCGCTTGCCTGCCCTTAGGGCCAGAGCTGATGGCTGGCTTGCAGTTGGGCAGCGAANGAACACGTCAGTCGGAGGTGCTCCTGATCCAGTAGAGGCTGACCTTTGACCCTTGAGAGTGATCGATGACGTCATGTGACGTCATTGTCCCAAAACCCCCAACCAATTGGAAACCGGACCTAACCGAACCCGACTACGAGCCCGAACCCGAGCCCGACTTCGAGCTCAGCCTGCCTCGTTTTGATTTTGATTTCTGATATACAGATGGATATATTTGAGTCGTGGATATATTAAAATTTGTAGCGAACCCCCATTTTATGTGTATATTTTTAAAAAATTCATTTTGATTCGACCGAAATCAAGAGATTCAGTGGAATTTCAGTGCTTCAACTCCGCTAGAATGCTGCTATTGATGGCGAGATGGCGTTTATTGGGCGCCGTCGTGGCGATTTTGCTCTTTGGCGCCATGGAACAGGTTTGGGCGACCGGGGCGACGACGGCGCCGGTGTTTGACTTCCTCCAGGACGACGAGATCAGCGCGCTACCGGGTGCGGAGCAATTGGAAATTAATTTCAGGCACTTTTCGGGATTTTTCAAAGTATCCGAAACGCATTTCCTGCACTATTGGTGAGTTTTTTTTCCATTTCGCGACCTTTGACCTTTGACCTGTGATATTTGACCTTCTTGAAGAGGTCAAAGGTCTGGCAGATGGTGGAGGGTACCCCCTTTGGGGTGGCACTGGATTGAATTTCAGGTTTGTGATGATGATCTGGCTTGCGATTTNCCGGTGATATTCTGGTTTAACGGTGGACCGGGTTGTTCGTCTTTGGATGGACTGCTGAATGAGATGGGCCCGTATCTGGTGAACGCTGATGGGAAAACACTACGGGCAAATGAATACGCTTGGAATAAGGTACGGGAGAGAGCGTGTTATGGGTGGTTTTGAATCCCGATTCCCGTCTCGGGTAAGAGAAAATACCCGATCGGGTAAACCCAGCTAGAGTTTTGGGCAGACTTTGGGTACATTCATTCAAATGGTTTTTGCAGATGGCCTCGGTGATCTATATTGAGTCACCGGCCGGTGTCGGCTATTCGTATGCGACAGACGGCAACATTACGACAAATGATGACCAGGTAAGGTGCTCTGGCTATATGGCTGCGAAAATGCTATATGGCTGCAAAATTCGTGCAATTTTTGAAGATCTGAAGATATGTGGCTGTTTCAGATGTCGCTTTTTCTATTGATCAAATTCAAAAATCAATCAAATTTTCGGGTAAATTTTCGGGTAGATCACACAATTCGGGTAGGAATCTTTACCACGGGCATGTTTGCCCAGTGGGTATCTCAGGTGATAAGCTGATAAGCGGAAAAGAAAAGTGCCCAATTGAATTCGAATCGTCGTCGCTCTAGCCGTCTGTCACTCTCCAGTAGTGTGCTATTTCAATCACGCTCCTTATCACTCGCTGATCAGCGCCAACCGATCGTGATCACTTTCGTTGATCACATCTAGTAATATAAACTGATCTGAAACGCTTCGGCAGTGTAATAGGTCCGTTGGAACTAAGCACAAAAATATGGATAAAGTATAGGTACTCGATCAGATGCCTATACTTTAAGAGATAAAATGAAAAAATGCGGTGTTCCAAGCATATGACCGTTACGAAAACTTTTTGCTTGGCATATTCAATCCTACCATGCCCTCAGTTTTGATCAGTAACCTATCAATTTGATCACGCCAATCGATTGATCAGAATCTCTGCATTCAGAAAAATATATATTTTGTTGGGCCAATTCGCTTAGTTCAGGAGCTATAGCTAATTAATTAAAGCCAGCTCAACTGGCGCTCAGGTGCTGCTCATTGGCATGCATTTGATCACTATAGATCAATTTGATCGCGTCACTCACAAACGAATAACTTTCTCAACAGAATTTTACGCATTCTGCGTGGAGTTGATCTACATTATCGATTATCGATCTACAATGATCACATCGAGAAAGTGATCTAGACCACTCTTTAAAGTGATCTACGCAAACAACTAAGCACTAACAACTAGAAGCGTGATTGAATGTCATTCGTNGTATTTTTGGTATTTGTGGTTATTTTGCAGACTTCTTTGGAGAATTATGAGGCAGTGAAGGCGTTCTTCCTGGCCTACCCGTCGTTCAGGAACCACTCCACCTATATTATGGGTGAGAGTTATGGGGGGGTCTATGTGCCCACGTTGACTGCGCGTATTATCGATGGAATGGACGAGTTTCAGATCAATTTGAAGGTTTGT